TGATGATGAAGCCACAAGCCAAAAAATGCAGGTGGTGTCTAGAAGTTGGAAAAAATAAGGAAGCAGATTCTCCATAGTTTCCAAAAGCAATGCTGCCCTGCCGAGCCATGCTGGACCTCCAGGACAGTTTTAAGCCACTAAGTTTGTGGTAATTTGTTATAATAGCAATACAAAGCTGGGATAGTCAGCTTTTTGTGAATGTGACAGATAACCTAAAATAAACAGTAAAAGGAGGAAAGGTTTGTTTTGATTCAAGATGGCTTGGCCCCATCACTTTGGGCTGGTGGTCGCACAGTACATTGTCGAGGGAGCATATGGAAGAGGAGTTATATTTATCTCATGGCATCAGGGAAGCTGGGGGGCAGGGGAGAGGGTCTCGGTTCATCTGTTGTTCTCCAAGGCTGTTGCTGGAGGACTGACAGCCTCTTGTTCCATATCAGGCTGCTCTTGTAAAGATCATAATTCCATTAAGAGAGGTGAGCAGAACTCTTGGAGATGTAACAGCAGCTATGAAGTTGTGCAATCTATGACAATTTCTGCAACTTTTCTACTGTACAACCTTTAATTACTCCCCATCGACATAGAATAAAGTTTTGACACCTTAGCGTGGCACTCAGATTTATCTTGATTGACCCCTTTGTGTTTTGGTTGGCCCAGTGAACCTTTCCTAATAAGACAAGGACCCTGCAATTACTTTTCATTATTTTGTGTTCTGTTCTCTATGAGTTTGGCAAATTCATTATTCTTCACCTCTCAGCTCAAAAGTCTCCTCTTTTACCCTCCTAAGAAATAGGCACATGGGAACTAATAATTGTTATCAACTTGATAGGACCTAGGTGCTTTTCATAGACTATCTTCTTTTATATTCACTCTTAAGACACTCTCTCCAAATTAATTTTTATCTACTCATAACTCAGGGTATTATAGTGACTTTTCAGCATGTGATAGGTTGGGAAACCCTTAAATGCTATAGATAGTTCCCATGGTCTGTAAGTTCTCAAAAACCTTACAGAGATATTTGAGGCCTCCATCTCCATAGTTGGTTGGGGCTTCAATAATGAAGGAAGAACCAGCAAGAACAGTAGGTACAGTTGTATGTGATTTTGAAGAGAATTTATCTGGATTAGGTAGGTTTAAAGGAACCACATAGGATGCCCAGGGCCTAGTAAGAACTGTAAGCTCTCAGCTGTACCTTGCGTCACCTTTCCAAAGACTCAGCGAGGACCAAAGCTGTGAAAGAGGATCCCCTGCCAGAAGCTGTCATTGTAGAGCCACTGCCACTGTCAGAGCTGAGGTCCTAGAAGGAAGGGGATGAGGTTTGGATCAAATGGAGAATAACCAGAACAGAAAGTGTAAAATCAGAATTAATAAATGTTTTAATTGTCCATAGGACTAGTTGTCAGGTGGTCAGTTGCAGTTCCTTCATATGGTTATACAACATCATATGGGTGCATCTAAAACCATTTGGTGAGATGATGAAGAGTGAGATAAGAGATCCTGTTCTTTTGAAGATCTTCAAACATCTGTCATGTCTGTCTTCTTTCTGGGTGTTAGCTCTTGGAGTATTCAAATTGTCTTTTTCATCTTGGTATTCCCAACTTTGAGCAGAGCAAGCACATAATGTTTGAATGAGGATTGAGTGAGAGAAATGATGGTGTAGTGTAGTGTTCATTGAGGTTTTGCCAGTTTTCCTAGCCTATAAAATATTTGACTTGGCCAAAGTCAACTTAGATGTCAGGCATTTTATTGGCTTTCTGATCAATCTGAATAATATTTTCTCATCAGTGACATAAGTGTAGCAGATTTCATTTTTCCCCTTTTAAAAATGAAAAATAAAACAAAACAAAAACCCTGAGGCATGGAAAGATTGTAAAGAAATATAGTTAGTTAATGATGAACTTGGGATTTCAGATGGTTTCCATTGCAGTTGTGTCTTTTATGTTAATCCATGGCCTTCCTGGTAGGCTAGCTTCTCTGGTTTCCTATCACAGACTTCACCCCATGATATTTTTCCAGGGAAGTTACTATTTTGAAGTTAGGAATATGGGTTTATCACAACCAACAATAATGCTAAAACCAATTTATCTTATATGTGCTCTTGGTTTAATGAGAGGGGAAAGGGCAATTTGTTAGAAACAAGAATCTGAAGGTGTTTATAAACTTGGTTACTATTTTAATTAATTTACTAATTTAGTACCTACTCTGGATTTTTTCACTTAGGTGACAACACAATTGCTGCTTACTAGTTTATACCTTGGATCTCTATAGTCTCTGCCAGGCTTAGTTAGGCTCCTGTGTTTTAGGGAGAAAGAAGATCATGAGGTGGGAGAACTAGAGGGAGCCTTAACTAATCATCCTGTAACGTTTAAGTTTTTTTTTTTTTTAATATTTTTTAGATACTGATGGACCTTTATTTTCTTCATTTATTTAAATGTGGTGCTGAGAGTCAAACCCAGTGCCTCACACATGCTGGGCAAGTGCTCTACCACTGAGCCACAAACAACCCCAGCCCTTGTGATGTTATATGTATGCAGATAATATTGTTTCAGTATAAAAATGTATATTGATAAAAATCTAGATTAAACTTGCTTATCTGGGAAAGATGATCTTTTCATTCTGTTTGACTAGTATTAAACTATAGAAAGGAAATGCATTTTCGAGATACAAGATTTTTGCACTGGACTTGGACTGGATAGGGCTATGTATCCTCTTTAAGGTTGTCATAGGTCTTGTGCTGAGTCAAGAGCAAATTGACAGGAGCAGATAGTCTTGCATGGAAAATAAATCATGAACACCTGGATTTTATTAGCCTTAGTTCTTACTCTTTCAGTCCCAAGAGTGTCCTTATTTTCATTTTCAAGGCAAAATTAATTGAACATCATAATGGAAGATATTCATCCAGTCTCTCATTTAAGAGTATTTATCAAATTTATACTACGAGCAGAACACTTCCATATAATGTAAAATAAATAGTGATGTTCTGACCTGTGTTAACTTTATCAAGAAGTAGTCTCAAATTTTATTGGCAAAAGAGGAAAAACAGGATGTGTAAGGAAATAATTATTGAAAGTTTATGTGCATATACATAGTGTATAAGGAAAGCATATGATTGATGACAAGGATGGAAGGGGTAGTTCGGAAAGTTTGAATATATGTTCAGAAGCTAACTACCACTTATTTGCTGTGTGAGGAATAATCATTTTCCTCATCTGTAAAGTGGAAGAAGAGTAGCATCATAGAAAAGTTGTTAAAAAATACTGAGAATATTGGCGATTTTTATCTAAAGAGAGTAGCATGATTTTCAGCACATAGAAAGCAGGAGCTCAATAAATGGTAGCTATTGTTATCAATAATTCATTTATTATGAGTTTAATAAGAGTCACACTTATATAAATCCTTTGAGCATAGCCATTGAAGATGTTGTCATATAGATAATGCTTAAGGGCTTCAATAATTTACTGTTAATAGACAAATATAGAAAGTAGTGAGGCATCAGTGAGACAGGCAATTTAGCAGTCAGTAGTATTCCTACAATTTAATAAAATCTATTTATATAAAAGAGGTATACATGATAAGTCAAATCTTTCACATATAGAATGAAGAGATGAATTTCAATTGTTTCCATTATATCAGGATTAGAACAGTAGCCACTAATTAAGAATTCAAGTCCCTCCCAGTTACTAAGGGTTTGCTTTCTGGCTTTAAAAAACATTTTTGAACTTTCCTCTTAGACCATTTAAACATTCTCTTCTATATGTTATACAATTGATATGACCAAATCTGTCTCTAATATTTGCATCTCATTGACCTAGTCATTCTATTTTCACCTTAAAGTTTACTTCGGTTTGACACTGTTTTTCATTTTTAAAGGATTCAAGATCAGAGAAATTTGATTTTGTTCTATTCAGCACTGTTTAGATACATTAGAAACCACTTTAATTTGGCTTTTGTTTAATGCTGCAAAAGTTGTGGATGAAAATAATTGTATTTTGCATTGCAGAAAATGGATATATTCTTCGGGTCTTTTTAGGGGGTTCAGTTTTGGTTTTAGTTTCTGGTTTCAGAATTATGATTTTAAAATCACATCATGCTCTATACATTAAGGTGATTACGGATGCAAAACCTACACCCAGCTTTAGAAAGAGTTGTAAAGAGGGAAAGCCTGCCAATAGTTTACTTTTGGCTAGTATAGCACATTGTATTATTTTTTAAAACAGAAATTTGAAATCTGCTTATATACAAACCCACGAGGGATGGACATTTTTCTCAGAAATTTCTGTTTGCTGGATTTTGTGCTGTTCTTTCCTCCTCTCTGTATTGGTACGATCCCCACCTGCACAATGGGTTCGGCCCAGGGCGAGGGAGATCGGCAGAGGGGACCCTAAAATGCACTCTCGGGTACGCTTCTGAGCACCTTCAAGTTGGTGAGCAAATGACTTCCTCCTCTGAGTATCCGTTAGCTCAAGCCTGGGTTGAAAGCAACAACTATTCCAGAAAGTAGAGCTGGGAGGGGATTGCGTGGCAAAAACCTATGGGAGGGGGGGAGCTGTTTCTGGGAGTATTGCAACCCGCGAAGGAGTGGCTTTGCTCAAGCTGCTGTAACAAGCGACTTTTTCTCCGCTGCTCGAACTTGTTTGAGTTTCTAAGGAAGCGCCTGTTTTTTGGGTCGGTGGCCAGGGTAGGTGGTGAGTGGGAGTTGAAGGGGAGCGAGTTCTCGGGTTGGAACTTGACGCAGACCCGGGGGGGCCTTGAGTGCATTCGCTGTGACTGATATTTTTTGGTGGGGGAAGATAAGGGAAATCTGCCAAAGGCTTTCCTGGGCTCTCAGTGCCTTACTGACGGCCACTGCCCGTACTCGCGCTCGTGCGGGCTGACTGCTCGAGCCCCTGGCACGCGGCAGCGGTCGTAGGGCGTGCTCGCGGCAACCGCAGGGCACGCGGGCCGGTCGCGGGGCGGGGGCGGGGCGGCGGGGGCGGTTGCGGGGCATGCGCGGCTCCGCGCGCGGCTTCTCAAAAATGGCGGCGGCGGTGTGAAGACCGGTGCCGGCTCGCGGGAGTAGTGTGACAGAATTTCGTTGCTGTCGAGGATGAGACCCGAGGTGCGTGGTGACTCTGGGCTCCGTGAGGAGCGGAGAAAGAGAGTTGTGGCGTCCGGACCCTGACCGTTGTCCCTGAGGCGGGAGGGGGGGAGCCTTAGGCAGCGCGTCTCGCGCGAGGAACGCCCCCTCTACGCCCCTCCGGCGTCCCGCCTCAGCTGGGCCCCGCACCCCAGTCGCCCACCCCTGGTGGCCTCCTCCCCGAGGCCAGGGCTCCTCTGATCCTCTCAGCGCGCTTCGCGAACCTCCCTGAGCAGCGCTCGCGCCGCCCCTCACACTTTCCCGGAGCCCCTTTGCTGGCGGCGGGCCCTTATTGCCTCTGGCGTTCCGGCGGCGGACGGCGGTCCCTCAGACGCCCCCTCGTCGACAGCACTCTTAGCTGCTACCTCCTCGGGGTAGGTGGGGCCGGGCTGGGGTCTGGGGACTCTGCGGATAGTTGGCGGAGCTCAGGGGCCAGGATGAGTTCGCGAGGTCTAGGTTCAGACGCGCCTTCCGGGACTTGTGAGGTAACTTTTGGATTTTGTGAGGGAACGTCAGCCCGGAAGGATGCGCCTGTGGTGGGGAGCGGGCGCTGGTCCCGGTGCCAGGTGCGCGCCGCGGGGCTTCCAGCGGGGACTGGGTGCACCAATCGTTCGCCTTCGAGGTGAAGCGGGACAGCATGGCGGGCGGGAGGGCGAGGGGGCTCCGAGCTTCTCTAGGGACCGCAAGGCGGCAGCGCTCACGGCTTGAGTCCAGGGACCACTGCTGCTGCCTTTTAAAAACAGCCCTGAAATGGTTCCTTATATTTCTTGCTTCTTTTTCACCCGGGTAGTGCTTGTGAATGGGAAGAGGCGGAAGGAGATCCAGGGGTATAGGGAAATTTGGTTGGTTTTATGCCGTGAGCCACAGACAGCTTCACCTTCTGAACCCTCTTGGCCTCCTCCCAGGCGTCCGGGCAGCTCTGTACTTCCTTCAAAGGCTGAACCATATTCGTCTCCTCCTCATAGTTGGGTAGCTCGGATATTAGCTTACAGGTTCCTATTTAAGAATATTGATTTTTTTAAAAGATAAAACATTACAATTTGAAATTTGCCTATGTTTTGAAAAATTAGAAGTCGAGCCCGTAGGCTTGCCTATAGGGTGACTTTAGAACACTTAGGGAGTGAATAGATCAGTTAGTTGAGGGAAACTGAGGCCGGGAAAATGTTTTGCTTATGATCAAATGATTTTCAGAATTATTGGAGATGCTTTTTTTCCTCTCCCAATTTCAGATGCTGCTGCATTTTAATGTCTTCAGAGCTATTCATATTTCTGTTTTGAGGAAAGAGTATTTTAAGATGTACATCTGTGGAGTACAACTTCCTATGTTGAGCAGTTGTATTATAACAGTTCATACATGCATATTTCTTTTCAATAACTGCTTGGGAAGGTTTTTCAGTAATGACAAATTTTCCTTCCTTGCCATTTTTTTGCCTGAATTATTAAATAACGTCTTTCCAATGGTGAATGTTCTTTCAGGTTGTGATTTTGTATTTTAATGGGAGGAGTGTGAAAATAAGCTTTTGGAAGTGAGTCCAATTGGGATTTTGAGAAAAGAGTGAGTTTATGAGCGCTCACCTGCTGTCTTGTATTTGTTCTGCTATAACTTTAAATAGTCTGAACTTAAAAAAGACTTAAATACAGCTTAAAAATAGCTTTGAAGTGTTTGAATGTGTTTCATATATATATTGTGCACTTTCCCTCTTAACTCCAGAGAACCCGATTTATTTTGAAATTGATAGTTTGGGAGAAAAGATTAATGTAACTGGTACTGCATTGTGTGAGAGGATGCTTTAAAATGGATGATGTCATAAATGTACAAAGTACATTGGAATGGATCTTAAAGATATGGTATCAGTATTTCTCATGAGGCACTTGGTCAGTCCTTTCGATTTATGGTTCAGTCAGTGCATCTTTATTAAGCACCTGTGCTGCCCTTAGTATGAAGTTTAGTTCAAGGAACATTTATTCAGAGCCTACTGCTTTGTGTGCCAGTTTCTGGTGTTTAAGGCTTCCCACCAGTAGTTTATTCTTGAATATTTCAAGGTTATAACTAAGAAAATCACTATGAATGTAGAACAACTATTCCTTTTATTTAAAGGGCAAGCTCAGAGAGTCAGTATTTTTGTCATAATTTTCTAAACAAAGTTCTGTGAGTTACTTCTGACTTACGTGATCATAACTTTGTGCCTTTTCTATTATGATTATATAAAACTATACATTTTATGGCAGGTTATTTTCTGGATCAGACTAATAACATTGCTTAGGTTTGTGGGAAAAATGAGTTGCTGGTATAAATTGAAATCAATACATGGGTTGGAGATGGGGTATTTTGTAATGTTAAGCAACTACACTTTTATGTCCAAGTAGTTTAGGCTATAACTAGATTTTTTTAACTTACTGATATTTATTTATTAAAAAAATTTTTGAAGTTCTAGGTGGACGGCATGCCTTTATTTTATTTGCTTATTTGTATGTAGTACAAAGGATCGAACTCAGTGCCTCACGTGCTAGGCGAGTGCTCTGCCACTTAGTTACAGCCCCAGCCCTTTAATTTACTGATATTTTAAGTACTTTTCTTCTTTGAAAATATTTCATAAATCTGAGTTCAAAAATAACATGGGCTATGATGGTCAGCTATAAGCCAGATGTGACTCTCATTTTCTTTTGGGTTTGTTCCTTTTTAGCTGCTTGCCTGTTCCTCCCAGATGCTTCCTATAGCCCCTCTTCCTGCTCTGTTCTCTTTGCTGTTGGTGTCTGTTTCCGAATCAGCAAAATGGTCAGGGTAATCCTGTGTTCTCACTGAGAAATAATTGACAATGGTAAAGTGCCTTGAAAAGGCTGAGTAAATACCAAGTCTTTTGAATGAAAATGAGAAAAATCCAAATTTCAGTTTTAGCTTGAGCTCTTGAAGGGTGGGAGAGGAAAATTTCACTTGATATTTTATTGCCTCTCTCTTTGAACTAATATTGATTTATAACTTTAGTAACTGGAACACTGGTGATGGGTGCAAGGGATCCTCTGTTATTGAGTTATTGGTCACCTCCAGCCCTTTTTTGCCAGGTTCCCTGCCTGCCCTCCTCCTCCTGTTTATACTAGCTTTTGTTCTCATTCCACTTGTACATGGAGTTTCAAGCTCATTTTCTCTATTAACTCCTCACTTGGAAACTGCACTGTCTCCTCCTAGTTATATTACTGGTTTTGTGGATATACAAGAACAAAGTAAGCTCTGCCAGCTATCAGAGTTAAGAGTTGTGAGCTCTAAGTTGTATGGAGACTGATCTGACATTGACAGGAGATATTTTGTGGTTTGGAGTGAGCTACAGCTCACTAAGAATTTCAGAACCATTTTATTGATGTCTGAGAATTAGTATATAATAGCTCAGAATTTGTTGATTGGTTGCAGAAACTGAAAACCTGGAAATGTTGAAAATGGCCAATGTTGGTGATTTTGAAAAGTTTCCCTTCCCTGCTTGGAATCTTAATATTCATGATCTTTTTATCTTGGGAAAAGGAGATGAAAGAAAGCATTTCCATTTATCTTAGATAAAAATAGAATAATTAATTTATACCATGATATAAATACTTGCAAAATTTAGTGTTAAGTGTTTTCCAGGCTCTAACTTGAGTTTTGGTTACTCTAAGAATAGAAATGCCTTTACTTCAGTAGCATCTCTTTTATAAAAAGGATAGCAGAGGTGGTAGTTCCTAAAATGGGGAAAACTAGAGAAAATTTTAGAAACTGTGTAAGATTTGGAATGAGCATATGTTCTTTGACTTTCATGAGTAAGACATTTTTAGTTTTATTTTACTTTTATGTTGTCTAGCATCTTGTAAACCTTGGTAACCATAGAAATAATAATAGTGGTAGTTTTTATGCTGCAATTAAACATGTCCCTAAACCTTTCTTTTACTTTCATTTTTTGGGCATGTAATGGAAAGATTTTAAATAAGAAGTGGGGATAATCTTAATGTGAAAAGTGAAAGTTTTTTTGTTCCCATAATAGTTTATATGAGGGTGTTTTTAAAGAGTTAAATAGAATATAAGCTCATTGAATCTTTATGTGTAAAGAGCTGGGAAACATTTGAAGATGGTGTTTGACTACTTACTACTCATGACTTGTGTTTATGGCCATGGTTCTGCCCCTTCCTAGGTTTATAGGAGCAAACTGTTCTAAGAGCGGAAATAGAGTACCCACCTTTTGTGGTAACATGTCATTGTAAACTTGAGAAGGGACAGATATATTTTTACAATTCTAGAGCATTCCTTGAGGATATTTTCTTTTCTCTGGGAAAAGTTGGTGAGGCTCACTTTGTTTCTTGTCTTTAGAATATACATTTGATTTTTCTCAACTTCTTATGTCAAAAAATTCTCAAAAAGATGTCATTCCAGTGCAGAATTCCAAATAAACAACTCTGTTTGTTATGTACTTATTGCCTTGACATAGTTATTTAAGCATGTGTATTGGCATAATCCTTGCTTTTTGTTAATATTTGGTCGTTTTTCCTATCTTCCATCAGTTTTAGCTGATTTTGATTTCTTGGGCTGGGGTTGAGCGCTTCTCCCTCAGTGGGAGAGCGCTTGCCTCACACATGTGAAGCACTGGGTTAGATCCTCAGGACCACATAAAAATAAATAAAATAAAGGCATAAAAAATATTTTGATTTCTTAAATTAAAACTGAATCAAATATATTTCTTCAGTTCTCTGTATTCAGTGCCTCCGAATACAGTTGGAAATAGGTGCCCTTTGCTTTTGTTCTTTGCTGTTTTTTCTCTGAAAAATTTTGAAAAGCATTATTATTAAAAAGTATTTCAATACACATTAAATTTGTATGAAAAGTAATCAGGTTTAATTAGTTTTAAACTAACTTCGTAGAGTTTGATAATTGTTCAAACGAAAGTATCTTTGATACTGAGATAGCATCATTATTCACATCATTATTCACAGATAGTAATCAGTAATGATAAATGCATTCATAGATT